TAGAAGTGGGTAGCGGAACTGGGTGGACGGTCTATCCGCCCTTAAGTGGTATTACCAGCCATTCTGGTGGAGCAGTTGATTCAGCAATTTCTAGTCTTCATCTATCTGGTGTTTCATCCATTTTAGGTTCTATCAATTTTATAACAACTATCTTCAACATGCGTGGACCTGGTATGACTATGCATAGATCACCTCTATTTGTGTGGTCCGTTCTAGTGACAGCATTCCCACTTTTATTATCACTTCCGGTACTGGCAGGGGCAATTACCATGTTATTAACCGATCGAAACTTTAATACAACCTTTTCTGATCCCGCTGGAGGGGGAGACCCCATATTATACCAGCATCTCTTTCGGTTCTTCGGTTTTCAATTTGAAATGGCCCTTTTCAGATTCAAATCTGAATACGCATTGCGCTATATGCTGGGACTGTCTGCTTAATGGTACTCCTACTATGTTCATAAGTGGTTTTCTAGTCAAACCCCGATCTAGTCAAAATGGAGTATCTAAGACACAATCAGCAGGTAACCAACGACATAAAAGCAGTCTAGTAGGAACCTCAGAGACTACACGCGCAACAACTTATCCTAAATCCTTCTGTGAGTGGCTAGCTGGAATTGATGGAACTCTTCAAGTAGGACGTAGATTTGAGAAGCTTATAGACTCTTAGACATAGGATTCGTTTATCAACTCATTTCGTACCTTATTGAGGAATATGAAAGTCTTTACGATCTCAAAGCATTTCAACCTGACAGTATGAACCATAAAGCATGGCTAGCTTTCCTAGACAAATGGAATCAAAAAGTTGATGATATAGTCCACCTTTCTTCTATTCATCCGCTTATCTATATTATATATATAATTATATATATATTAGTAGAAATTAGTAGAAGAGAGGAGCATCCTGAAGTTTATATTCTAATTCTGCCGGGATCCGGTATCATAAGTCATATCGTTTCTACTTTTTCGGGAAAACCGGTTTTCGGGTATCTAGGCATGGTTTATGCCATGATCAGTATAGGTGTTCTTGGATTTCTTGTTTGGGCTCATCATATGTTTACTGTGGGCTTAGACGTTGATACCCGTGCCTACTTCACCGCAGCTACCATGATCATAGCTGTCCCCACTGGAATAAAAATCTTTAGTTGGATCGCTACCATGTGGGGAGGTTCGATAGAATACAAAACACCCATGTTATTTGCTGTAGGGTTCATCTTTTTGTTCACCATAGGAGGACTGACGGGAATAGTTCTGGCAAATTCTGGGCTAGACATTGCTCTACATGATACTTATTATGTGGTTGCACATTTCCATTATGTACTTTCTATGGGAGCCGTTTTTGCTTTATTTGCAGGATTTCACTATTGGGTAGGTAAAATATTTGGTCGGACATACCCTGAAACTTTAGGTCAAATCCATTTTTGGATCACTTTTTTCGGGGTGAATCTTACCTTCTTTCCTATGCATTTCTTAGGGCTTTCGGGTATGCCACGTCGCATTCCAGATTATCCAGATGCTTACGCTGGATGGAATGCCCTTAGCAGTTTTGGCTCTTATATATCCGTAGTTGGGATTTGTCGTTTCTTCGTGGTCGTAACAATTACTTCAAGCAGTGGAAAGAACAAAAGATGTGCTCCAAGTCCTTGGGCTGTTGAACAGAATCCAACCACACCGGAATGGATGGTACAAAGTCCTCCAGCTTTTCATACTTTTGGGGAACTTCCAGCTATCAAGGAGACGAAAAGCTATGTGAAGTAAAAGAAGAAAAGGTCGACGACTGCTACTAAGAACCTAACAGAACTTAATAAGAGGGTTTTCCGTCTCGTATACTTTCTCACTAAAAAATTATTTACTTCTTTACAAATTAATTTACAAAGAAAGAAATAATAAATAAAAATAAAAAGTAGGGTGATCATAGATCATTCTCAACATTAAATCATCCATCTCGGGAATTACCTTTTGGGGTTCGGATAGAGTCCCATCACTTTCGTGCTTTCGTGATGGTCCACTCCGTCTTAAAGTTGATGAGTAGTCCTAATTTTTGATTGTAAGCTTTCGACATTAAAAAATTTAAAATGAGTAACTGCTGATAGGGTCCATATAATAGAGAATAAGAGAATAGATAATAGGAATTCGGATAAAGCAAACATGTAATTAGTAAGTAATTAGTAATTAGTAGATTATTCGAAAGTAAAGGGAGAATGCCGCTTTTCATTTCTCATTGTATGAAATTGTATGAATAAGTAGCCAAAAGACGGAATGAGTTGAACTATCTCTGTTCTCTGTTCTCTAGCAACTCATTTGAAACGAAATGAGTTTCACTATGTGATTTGGTACGTAGGAACATCCATTGTTGTTTCCTCGCTAACCCCATCTCGATCGAACACCAGATACTTTTACACACGCATTCTTTTTTGAAATATTCTTATTTCCTTGGAGAAGGGTTTCCATTCTGCTTTCGGAATGCCTGCTATTAGCTTAGTTTACCAGCTCTATTGGGCTACCTTGCTATCTTGCTATGCACCTAAACGAAGTCACTTTCCTTCCTTCCACTCTACATTCTAGCTTTTTTTACGGACCAGAAGAAGAACAAAGGGGAATGTGGTATTATCAGTCATCCCATTCCGTTCCAGTTGGTACTAGTAATGCCGCNTACTTTTACACACGCATTCTTTTTTGAAATATTCTTATTTCCTTGGAGAAGGGTTTCCATTCTGCTTTCGGAATGCCTGCTATTAGCTTAGTTTACCAGCTCTATTGGGCTACCTTGCTATCTTGCTATGCACCTAAACGAAGTCACTTTCCTTCCTTCCACTCTACATTCTAGCTTTTTTTACGGACCAGAAGAAGAACAAAGGGGAATGTGGTATTATCAGTCATCCCATTCCGTTCCAGTTGGTACTAGTAATGCCGCATCCCGCTCTTCTGATAGTTTTCATTAGCGTGCTTAACCCGGCAAGATCCGAGATAAGATCTACGTCCTGCTTACCCGCTATCCTTGACTATTTTCCATTCTTTAAGTCCCGGAAAAGGCATGGGCTCCAACTCCTTTAGGAAAAAGTGTTCCATCCCCCATGCGCAAGGCTCGGGAAGGAAGACTAAACCAAGCTTGAAGAGGAAATTAATATGCCTTAAACTGGATGTGGGGGGGCAAGTACTCAGTGCTACTAAGAGTCAGAATGAAATTGACTCCAAAATCCAGACCTTCATTCAGCAATCGACCAACGCCCGTGAGTCCGTGGCAGTGTGCGAGAAAATAGAGAACGCCGAGGCTGAAGGAAAGGATCAGATTCCGAGGCTCCAGGAGCAGTTGGCCGCCGTAGAGAAGAGGCGGAGTGATCTTACTCGGGATTATGATTCTTTGATGGCCGAGTTAGAGCCACTCCACGCCAAACTTAAGAGTCTGAAAGATTCCAACTTGGAGGAGCAGAAGGCCAGGGTTGAAGAGTCTGAACAGGCTGCAATCAGAGCCTGGGAGGAATCTTCTGGAAGGTTTGTTTGAGCTTGATTAGGCCCGTTTTCACGGCCTTGAGCATTGAAAAATTGGATGGATTGTAAATATTTTGGCCTGCTATGATGCGGCCTGGTTTTTTTTATTTTTGTTTGGCCTTTACTAAAGCCATGTGGACGTATTTCAATTTAGATGACTTCCCGTTTCCATAGATGTCTCTATATCTTCTTTTGTCTCGTATGACTCCCACATAGAAGGATAGTAAGGTTTTCAAAATTTCCCATTTATGGACCGAATGTGGGACTTACCGTCCATATCCATCAAATGATAGGCTCCGTTGGGCAGTCAAGTTTGGATCACAAAGGGGCCTTCCCAAGTTGGGGACCCTTTTCCAAACTTTTGATCCTTTCTTTTGTATCAAGAGGTAGGATAGTTTTCCATACCCATTTTCCTTCCTCAAAAGATTTAGGCTTGACTTTCTTGTTGTAGGCTCTAGCTATTCTTATCTTCTGATCTTCTGAACCCTTATATGATCCAAGCCTCATTTCATCAAGACTATCCAATTCGGCAAACATAGTCTCCTGGAGTCAAGTTATTTTGATAGGCTACTCTGAGAAACTGAACTGTGATCTCCATTGGAAGTACGGCATCGTGGCCATAGGTTAAGGTTCGGAAGCCTCACCCAAACCACCACTGTCTCAATAGAAGCTTCCTAAGGGTCGAAATTGGGTTGCCATTGTCTCACCGTAATGTACTGGTCAGCTACCGGACCATCCAAGAGCACATGGTCATAATCTTCTTAACTTTCAAACTTAACCAAGAAAAAGTCATTGCCCAGGTCAGTAAGCATAAACGGTGATTTCAGTTTCCAAAGTTGGCTTAGACGTCTCACCATGAAGTTGTAACCCAGTCTCTTACCCAAGCACTTGATAATAAGTAATTTCCTCCAGGGCAGCCTCATCCTTCTTTTGTCTTGTCCTCCCCTTCGTCGGAATAAAGTTCTTCCTCAGATGAGTACTCCTCCTCACACCAGTCCACCATAGTACTCTCCTCAACAGGGAGACCCACCACCTTCTCTTTATACGAGAACTCCCTGGTCTCCCCTCCTCGGCCCTCCACAAACACACCCCCAGAACCAGCATCCCCCTTCGCACCCTTTTGAGTTCTTTTGGCTGTAGCTCTTCGTCGTCCAGGTGCATTTGATTTTACCCAGAACTTCTGTCCATGAATGATATGGCTTCCAAAGCCACTGTTGCCGTCAATTATGAGTTCGCTTATTGGTAAGGGGAAGTCATCTTTAAGGCAATTAGGTCTCTGAAGTCGACACACACTCGTACTTGTCCGTTCTTCTTGCGTACTGGCACAATGTTGGAAATGAAATCCACTTGGGATATTTCCTTATGAAAGCGGCAGCTATGAATTTGTCCACCACTCCGTGGGTGAATTCCTATTAAATTTGCATCTCGAATTCAATGTATTCATATCGGATAGAAAGATGAAATCTTCTTCCCCTTTTCTTGAAAGCTGGGAGTCGCTCTTGAATCGAACACCCTAAATGGAAAGCTAGTCTTCTTTATGATAGTAAGAGATAGAAATGCGGCGAATCGAGAAAGAGCTTATTAGCTTATCCCAAATTGGCATATCTGTCCTTTGCGCCTCTCTATATGTAATGATGTAATGTCTTTTTTCTTTTTTCGAAATTGCGTATCGTATAGAAAGAAAGATGATTCGCTTTTTTTATGTTCCTTTAGCCTGAAAGGGTATCAGATATTAGATCGAGCTTTCTTCCGGGTGTAGCACCATAGCCCTTTATTCTTGCTGCTTGGCCCAATGCCTTATCCTTGAGTCATTCCGCTATCATTCGAAATGGTCTATGTCGGATAAGGTGAAATCCCCTATGATCATCTGGTAGTCTAGTCTGTGGAAGTGGTGCATTTATTTCTGAGGAAAACTGGCCCACAGCCCTCTCGTCTAAGGTCTAAAACGGATGAATCAAAGCCTATCGTCTCTCCAGCTGCCTAATCCGATCAGCCTGAACATGAGTTCTCAAAATCGGGGAAGCCTTTGCTTGAGTGAGTTTCCCTCCTGACCCGAAAAAGGTTCAATGCCTGATTATGGGCCCAAAGTGAATGTTGGTATATTGGTATAATAGCCTCGCAGGGAACCCCCATCAGCATCAGGGGAAGACTCTCCATTAGCTTTTGGTCTCCTTGTCTGATTGAGTAGTCCATCCTCTATAAAAAGTAGGCTATGGAGTCCGTCGCTATGTTTGATGCGTTCCTTGCTTTGGATTGTTCGAAGTCGGCTAAGGGGCCAGTGCTTTTCCTCGTCTAAGGGTCAATGCCATAGTAAGTCTGTCGGTATATCTGTTGGAGAAGGGGCACTGCTTTCTATTTTTGTAAGCCTTGGAAGTCTTGCTCCCATTGGTCGTTTGGCCTTTGCAGCTTTCCATTCTTCCTTCCTTCTTGCTAATAGCATTGCCCAAAGCTCCTCCATCCTCCATTTCTAGTCCTTGTTCTGTTTTGAATTCTGTGACATCTAGTTCTGCAAGCGGGATTTGATTACTTTATTTCCAATAGAGATTTCTTAGGGCTAAGTAGGGATAGACCGACCCATAATGGAATAGTGATATAAAAAGGTGTAAGGCTAATAGCTGGTAGGTCACCTGAAGAATGGATTGCTGTTTCTGCCCTCGTCCTTTACTTTCCAGTAAGAAACGCGGCATCTTAGAATAGCGCTATTTAAAGTGAGGATATTTCCATTTTAAACTATTTAAACTATAAGGAAGGAATCTATTGGAAAGCTTTCCCTCTTTTCAAAGAATACAGGAAGGGAATCTTTCTCAAAGTAAAGAGGGACTTTAGGCAATCAGGTTATAGAGGCTGGTTTACAGGCTAGACAGCAAGTATCTTTTACATAGGGTATGCCATTTCTATTCGATCTCCAGACCAATTGAAAGCAGTCCCGTAAGTAGGGATTGTAGGCTAAGAAGTTATCAAGCAGTTCTAGTTCCCAGCCATCCAGTTAGATATGTATAGAAAGTTCTTTCACCTGGGGACGTTTTTCATACCTTCTACTTTCGAGTTAAAATATTCTGTAACTTTCCTTCCGTCGAATTTTATTTTTGGCCACATCCAGTCGAGCCCGCCATTCCAATTGTTATCCCAGACGAGCGCCTACATAACCTAGCCATTTCCATAATGCATCCAAGGTAATGATGGAAATGGTTTTGGTATCAGACCAGAATGTAGTTCTTATGGCCCCTTTTTTTACCAGTTCCTCAAAAAACAGGATTCATCATCCTCAAAAGAGTACATCTGAGTCCGTCGGGCCGGCTACAACCCGCGGCTAATATACCAGGACGTAACGAGAGAAAGATCTCTCTCCCTCACCTTTTGGCGCCAAAAACCTGTCAGCCCGGCCATGGCGCACAGAGGTCTGTCCCGGTCCATAGTTCAATCCAATGCCGGCCTACCCGCTTTCCTTTCGGTCAGCTGCCCCTCAACCGCGTCAGAGGTCTTTCTCAACAAAACACAAAGTAAAGTCAAATAAGCCACTTCAGTCGTGCTCGTCCTTTCTCAGTATGATCTCTATTCCCTTTATCAATTCCATTACCCATGAGGTTCCAACTCGACCGATCTCCTCAAGAAAAAAGCAGAAGCTCCCGGGCAACGTTGACCAAAAATTCCACAAAAAAAGTGGAATTAACCCCTTCAAAGAGAAGTTCATCCCGAACTGCTTGAAGAAACTCCATAGAAGCTTCATCAAGTAAGGAAAAGGATATAATATCCTCCATACTCGCATGGGGAGTGGGGGGCAGATCTAGGTTCCCTAAAAGGGAAAACACTAGATTTGATATCTCGTTGCGGAGAAAATCAAATACATCAGGGCTGGGCANCAGTCGTGCTCGTCCTTTCTCAGTATGATCTCTATTCCCTTTATCAATTCCATTACCCATGAGGTTCCAACTCGACCGATCTCCTCAAGAAAAAAGCAGAAGCTCCCGGGCAACGTTGACCAAAAATTCCACAAAAAAAGTGGAATTAACCC